TAAAACAGGGACAACAGTTCTGTCTAGATAAGGTCGAGTGTCAAGGTAACGCAGATCCTCCCTCGTCGTATCCTGACTTTCCTGCCTAGTACTCCCCGCCATTAAGCAGAAAACGATAATTTGCACACGAAAACCAAAAAGGCGCCCGAAATGGAACGATACTAGAGTTCCCAAAGTTCAAGTGTAAGACCGTGATTTTTATCCTCTCCCACTAAAAATTCAAAATCAATTTTGTGAAGTAATCTGACCCGCATCAAATATAAAGTTGGAGCTCCAGTGCGCTCAGCAGAAACCTATGGGAATGTATTAGAAGTAGGGACTAGTAACAAATCGGAAGTGTATCACAAGAGAAGATAGCAACGAAAAATTGTAGATAGCTGTAAAATCAGCACGATTTAAGCGGACATCGAAGCGTGAAAGCATAAGACCAGTTAAATTCCTATTCTATGGTATTTGTTCACTACCAAGAAGAAATCCTCTTCGTCCACTCCACCTGGATGCCCTCTGCACAGACGACTCTTTCATCATAGGACTAAGAAGCTTCACGGTTTTCACTCCTGTAATGTCCTGCGAGTTCGGGGAGGGTACGGCCGGTAGATCCCTAGATTCCGAGTATAGCTTCCTCTTCTTAGTCAGTGATTCTGAGTCGGAAGTATTCGAGCCTAAGGTATCCATTACACAAGCACTCACATACAGTCACACAAGTCGGTGAGAGTGTTAAACGACGATTGAAAAATGCAACGGTTTATTGGGTACGAGAGGAAGAATATAACGAAAGCTTATTATGTAAACGTGCTGAAAAAGGTTGAACTATAACAAACAACGGAAAAACGTTCATGAGTGAAAACGTTGAGAACTTGGGGGAGTGTAGGGATACATGTGGAACACGCCGAGGAAAACTGGGGGTAAAACAATTCAGCAAGCAGTGTAAGCGTAACTGTACAATAAAACAGATCAGCGAAAAGTGTTTACGATGGAACTTATCGGGGTGCGGCCGTTGACGATCGTTCACAGGAGATCAGTCCTCACGATCGACCTACAAAAGAGTGGTCGCGATTAAAACAAAAGAGTTTTTGTCCATCAGTTCTGTTGGGGTGTTACACTCCCAAGGTGCCCGCCGATTCGGCTAATTTGTTTTACGAATACTCTGGCCGAGACATTATACGAAACTGCTGCCATGAAAGCTGAAACAAGTATACTGGAACAAACTTTCCTAGAGAAATCTTGCGTCGCTCACATTTGTTCTGTAAACGACAATTAAAACTACAAAGAATAATAGATACTTGGACGTCTGACGGTTTATTGTTATCTCAGCCACTTTCTGAGGACAAAGCCTCCATCTCGAATGTTCTTATAAACACATATGAAATGCGCAACAACATTACCTTCGTGCCTTAGAACTCCGGTAGACATTTGTTAGCCAACTTGACCACGGTGTCTAATTCGCCTAGCAGAAACGTTTGGTCTCTTACATTTATTTCACATGAAAATTTAATTGTACGTCGGCCTACTTGATCCTACCTAAAGGCACGATCTGAAAGTTTTAGTCTACTCCAGACACTGTATGGGGATCAGTGAACGTGCCCTGTATGACTGTCCTAAAGATATTCAGAAGCTGACTACTGAATGTATCCGAATAAAAGGTTATCTCATTCATCAGTGAACCTTTCGAGCTGCCCCCTACAGCCGCCATAACGAGTTCTAGATGATCAGATGCGCTGGTACGAGGAGATATTGATGTCCTTCGTTCACTTCCAACTACATCTAACGATATATGGTCATGTGATTAATCCTTCGAATTTTGCACTAATCTGTGACATTTCAACGTGCCACTTCAGTGTTCCGACATATTTCGTAACATACGGTGTCAACGGCCTCCTTAATGGGCTCGGTTATTCCTGGAGAAACATGTCATAGGGCAAATTCTTTGAAGATACACAATTTTTGGGAATTATGCTATAATATGAGTAGAGGTACATGCGTGCGGGTCACACCGGAGCATATTATAAAGGCAACCTTTGTGTTTGCTGGTCTGCGGCACGAGTAAAGAATACCAAACGGCAAGGGCCGTGGCGACACACGCAGATCGACCATTGAAAGCCTGTCTATTTTCAGTTTAGTTAAATTTCATTATTGGAAAGGAAGGCGAACCCCTTTGGGTTCCCTATCATTTACAGCAACGTCGCAAAAAACAGTGCTTTCGGCATGTGGGGAAGAAGATTGAGTAAGCAATCACATACAACAAGCATTTAATCCTTGCATGAATGCGCCGGTGCGTGTATGCTGTGGCAAAGTTGTAAAATTATCAAAACGTGCTATTGTAATAATTCAAGTAGTATGGAAATGAGCGCATATGCCTCAGTCAAAATTCATTGGGTCGCACGTTGACGTCCGACTGAGACATTTACCGGGAAGTTACAAAATAATCCTACGTAAATGTAGGAAGAAGTATGCTTTGCAAAGTATATCTACCGGGGGTGATACAGGGGAAATTTGCCAGGTTCTGATGAGTTAGTGGTTCGTATCGAATAGAATAGGTTTGTTGCAGCACCTCTTGGACGCTGTCAGCCTCCTTTTAACACGAAAAAAAACCTTAACCAAACTCAACCTTTTCGGTTGCACTTTGACTTCATCTGCTTTGGGTGCCTACTTAGTCAATAGGGCGTGAAATGAGAGTTTGTTTTAAGCTATAAATAACCTGTTTTCCAAGGCAAAATAATAGCATAGGTTAGAAAAAGGAGCGAAATATACAATATAGAGACTGACGTTTGGAGCCTGGAGATTTTGGGGGTCGTTTATATATCGCCCTTCGTGGAACTGGAAGAACTTTGACATCGGTCAGACAGTGAAATTATCTTCGAGTTCAATAAATTTGGGTGTCTGCTAGTTGCAGGTTGTCAGCCTGTTAGAGCATTTTTTAAGATCTGGTCGCACCGTTCGTTCGTATTTCCCAGGAGGCTTACCATGGTTCTCTGGATTAGCAGCTGGAAAAGATGAATTTACGTCAGGAACAAGGAACATACAGTGGTAGGTAACAAGACAAATAATCAGGTATCTGTACACATTCTGAGCAGCTTGACGCTGATCCGCTCGGTAGATTTTGCATTCACTTATTCTCACTTACATATTTCTTTCATGCCGGCCGTCTTTTCTTGTCGTATGCTAAATCTGCTTTATGAAAGGTTTACGATAGCTCCGCTGATTATTTATTCACTTTACATCAGTCCAGTCCATTAAGGGGAACATGCGTGAGCCTTTGAGCACCCTAGTTGCAACGTAACATTGGGTGCGTTGTACAGAGAAATTACCTGGCTGAAATAATTCAGACGGACCCATAACAAATTGGGTATAAGTGTCAGGGGTTGAGCCCGATCTCTCATCACGTTTGTTCATTTCGAACATAAATATGTCAAGGCTCCTTTTAAAGCTTTCTATTAATAGTGATATTACGTATCACCTATTGACAGTTCGACCATCGATTTCGATGATGTCCACCGTGTGCCCCACAGGACGTTGGAGCAGGGACGGTGACTTACGCAGGGATTTATAGTGCCGGTAGACTTGCGTAGCATCTACCTACACTCTCTCCTCATCCCTCGCCCGAGCCTGGTGTCAAGACAGAGTCAAGAAGACCGTAGACGAGGGAGGCCGCAGGTGGATGGCTCGGACGGATCCTCACCTTGGCGCTCCACCACACCCCCTGGTCCACACAACAAATAACCAGGATTTCAACCAACACAAGAGAGATTTGGAGGCTGGCACGGCCGAAGCCGCTCCTGGGCATGCCGCCACCGCCTGGCTCGGATCCCACACTGTGGTGGGAGTGCCCTAAAGGCCACATTAAAAAGGAGCCATTGCAGCCTGACTCTCAGACCGCCTCCCGTTAAGGAGGAGGTCCAAGTTACCCCGTCAGTTGGCAACCTTCCAAGCCACGGCTTTTAGCGCACCGTGATAGCTTCAAGCGCGTCAGATTGATTATAGTGAGGAAAAAGTGCGCTGAGTCGTCGACCTCACTCTCCCTTCCCATTCCCACACCCCAGCCGCCGTCCGAGCCGGTCGGCAAACTGGAGTGGTGGATGGGCGCGGTGGCTGCCGCGGTCGAATGACCGTGACTGCGCGCGCCAGAGCACGACCTGGCCCCCATACACACACAAACACCAGGATTTCACACAACGGGGGTTGAACGGCGTGTCGCTCACTTGCGTGAGAGGGCCGTGGAAGGTGCTGCTACAGCCCGTTCCCAGCCCACCAGTCCGCCACTCCACACAGCACACACACACAACGCGACGAACTGCGTGAACCGAGAGCGGGCATCAATCAGCAACCTTCCTATCCACGACACTTGACGTGTCGGGATAGTCTCGGACTCAAATCACCCGTACAGCCGAAGCCGCGTAGGAACCGAGTCGAGATGCGTACTTCCCACTTGCGTGGAAGGTGGCAGTTGGTGCATGCGGTGGGTAAGTGTTGATGTGTGTTGGTGATGGTGGAGGAGGGTAGGGAGTGTGTGGATGTGTGGTGTAACCGGCGGTTGTCTACCGCAGGTCGTCGTGGATGCGCATGTGGCCGAATAGACCCATGCGGTGCCTGAAAGTGCGAGGACAGTGTAGGCAGTTGAGACGAGCTTGGTGGGTGTAGGTTGGTGCTTCAGGCACTGGTTCGCCGGTCTCTGTGCGATGGATTCGCAAGTGACCGACCAGGACGATACGTGAGGTGAAGGTGCGATCGTAGTGAGGGCAGGTGTAGTCCTGATTCTCATTGCTGGAGTCAGGAGAGGCGGGGGTGGTGCCGGTTGTTGTGTCGCGGTCGGAGATGTGCGAGACGGCTGCCTGAGCGGCCGCCGTTGGGGCAGTGGAGGAGGAGGAGGAGCAGGAGGATGCAGAGGAGACAGAGGAGGAGGAGGAGGAGGAGGCAGAGGAGGATGGAAGTGGTGGTGCAGAAGAATTCACAGAGTTATTCGGCGGCAGAGAGGACGAGGATGACGCGGGCGGGGGGATGAAGTTTGGTGCAGTTCGAGAGTTACAGTTGATCCGAAGATGTCCAACAAGGCCGATTCGAGCCCGGAATGTCCGCTTACATCGAGGACACGTTGGAAGCAGTTGTGCGGCTGCGTTGCTGACTGGGCGCAGTTGTGATTTGCGGGCTTCGCGTTTCGCTTTGGCGGCGGCGATGCGGTTGGCTTCGTGGATAGCAGCGCCCGTCTTCACTGTTCTCCTCCATGCCGGACGATCGCAGGCGAGCTCTTCTCAGTTGGTCGGGTTGATTTGCAGTAGCTTTAGGGAGGACTTCAGGGTATCCTTGTATCGACGAATTGGGCCTCCTTGACGACGAGAACCCGTCGTTTGTGTAGCCGCTCGTCGTCCATGCGCACCAGGTGGCCGCTCCAGCGTAGCTGCATTTGTCTCAACATGGAGTAGATGCTGAGCATTCCCGTTCGTTCCAGCACATCAGTGTCGGGGATGCGATCCTGCCAGTTCAGCCGCAGGATGCGACGAAGACAACTGAGCTGCAAGTGGTTCAGACGGCGCGCCTGCCTCGTGTACACCGTCCAGGTCTCTGCTCCGTACAGTAGCGTCGGCAGGATAACGGCCTTGTACATCTTCAGCTTCGTGTTCAGTTGAAGACCGTGACGATTCCAAACTGTGCTTTGGAGACGACCGAAGGCTTGACTGCTTTCGAGATCCTGTTGGCGACTTCGTCATCAATCTTGGTGGTGCGGGAGAGAGTACTGACCAGGTACGGGAAGTTCTCCACCACTTGCAGTTGGGTCCCATTCACACTGATTTGTGGCGACGCGTTGGGGGCTGTGGCCGAGTTGGGTGGCGGTTGGTGCATCACCACCGTCTTCTGCGTGTTAATGACCAGACCGAAGTTCTCGCAGGCGGCGGAGAACAGGTCCATGCTCCGTTGCATCTCCTCTTCTGAGGTGGTGTTCAGGGCGCAGTCGTCGGCGAAGAGGAGTTCGTGAACGGTTGTTGTGGATACGCGTGATTGGAAGTGCATCCGCCGTTGATTAAGCAGGTGACCGTCCGTCCTGTAGGCGATGCGAATCCCGGGACGTTCATCACGGTTGGCGTCCATCAGCATGGCAGAGAACATAAGACTGAAGAGGGTTGGTGCCAGCACGCATCCCTGTTTCACTCCGTTAGTCACTGCGAATGCCTCTGAGACAGCTCCGTTGTCCATGACTCGTGCCATCATACCGTCGTGCAGCTGACGCACAATCTGAGTGAATCGCTCTGGACAGCCGAATTTCTGCATGATCTTCCACAGTCCTTCACGATTCACCGTGTCGAAGGCTTTCGTATCACCTATTATTCATAATTAGTATATCAGTTAAGGGCATTGCTTACGTGCAGGGCGGATAGGTATAATAGGTTGTCCAGTTGAACCTCGGGAGTCCATCTCGGATGGGCTTGTTGCACTGACTTTGTGTCCATTCGTTTCGCGGGAAACAATAACTGGCATTATTTGATTGTGGTGTGTTGTCGAACCAGCTTACATAGTCTAATTTGGGAAATATGGGAATGCAATATCGCGACGCTTACTAAGGGGGTTGGTACATATTTAGCTGAACGGCCTACAGATGCGACCTGTTAATGCGTTTTAGAAAACATAATGCAAAACAAGGTCAGCGTACGGTAAGGGTGGTACACCAGTAACAATCTCATCTGTTTTCTATTTACCTTTCTAATTTGGAGCCACTAGGGGTTGTCGGGTTAAGTGGGTTGCGATGTTCTTTCAATTTCATCTACGGCTGCTGTGGTGTTTCTTCTTTGCGTCTGTCGCAGCGGGATAGATAGTAGTCGCGTGTCTCATAAAAGTTTCCAAAGCTTGGGGAAAAATTACGCATTTAGACACCGGATCACAGCCAATATTACGCTTTGTCTATGCTGGCCCACGCCCCTCTAACGAAGATCCGACCACGTTCACTCAAGTTATGCCTCAAACTACTCCAATATCCCTCTATGTAATTTCAGTGTTCGTCAGTAGTCGGGTCTACGGAATGTTCTGAATGGTTGACTGCGTAGTGCCCATAACCTTTGGATGGTAAACGGGTATATGACTTTCATTTATATGAGTGAGCGCCCCCTCCTATCATGCATCCGCTCGAATTCGGCTTGCTTCTGGGATGTGTCGTACATTCCCACTATCCATTCCTGCCTCCTGCTGCGTCCCACGTTATGGTTTCCGTTAAAAAATTTTTATTAAAGATCCGTCGGGGTCCCATCCAAACAAGTAAGAATAAATTAATATAAGAATTTTAGTCGAGGTACGCAGAATCTGTACAAAATGCAGTTCATGGTTTCTGCATTTGTAGTCCGTTATGAAAAATGATGAGCGAGCGGTGAAAAATTAACTCCATTTGAAAATCTAAAAATGATTGGGTTTATTTTACAGGAGAAGAAAACCCTCGCTAATAATAACAGAAAAACACAGGCAGGACTGGACTGCATGTGGCGGCATATAACGGATTATAATCGGACATCGTCAGGCAGAAATAAATGTCAGCCTTGATCATGATTTGACATCGTGCGGGCAGAAGTAAATGTCAGCCTTGAGGGGTACGTAAGCCGGTCGGACGGGACTGGCCTGCATGTGGTATTGTATACGGAATTCAGAACTGACATCCTCAGGGCAGGACTGATATGCCGGATGAGACTATTCGCGTCAAAGGGGCCAGACGAGAGGAACGCAGACGCGATCGGTCACAGTTCGCATTGAGCTCAGCCGAGGAGTGAGAAAGGGAAGTACGACGAAACTACTAGTAGACGGCGAATGCAGAGGACTCCGCCGTGAGCGTCGACAGACCGCTTGAGGTCGAAATGTGGGGGATGACATCAAAAAGTACAAAAAGCGTCGCTGTGGGGGAGGAGTGATAGCAGTGGATTTAGAAACCAAATCACAACAGCGTTCCTAATGATATAGTTGAGGGTTTGCACTTAATTTACCACTAAATCCCAGGAGGACATTTCTCAAAACCAAGAAGCTGAGTGTTCGGGAAGCAGACCGTTAAAAGGGCCTTTATACTTTCGGGTGTACGTTTTTTGCGTAATTTCGACTTGAATACCAGTAACTTAGGCGATGACCTAATTAAGCATTCCAAAGGAAGGCATATTAATAAGCAAAAAGAGGGAGCACTTGGATGTAGTGCGAAGAGGCGGCGGAATCACCCAGGAGGAGTTGCGCCTGGAATAAAACCGATATCTCCTAGTGAGAGTATGAATGACCGGAAGACTGGAGCTAGAGCTAATGCGAAAAAGGAAGCAAAAGCCAGCTTCGAGTCTTCTAACCCACAAAAACTTAATTTTTGCCTGCTGACATTGCTGAGTATAAGAAATACCGGACGACGCTTGAGAGAACAGTTGCCGGGTGAAAACCCTCTGAACATTTTCGATTTTATTACGGTCACACAGTTCATTAAACCAAAGAAAGGACAGCAGTATTCGAGGACAGGAAGAACAAACATTTCCGGAAGGAAAAAAGTAAGCGTTATGAATCCGCGCACCTGCGCGACTTTGACAGAGATTCTGTCTGCATGAGCTGATAAAGCAAGCTTATTTCTATAAATTAGACCTAGGTCCTTTATGGTGAGGCATTCTGAGAGTGGGTTATTCTGAAAAATTATGGAACCAGGAAGTTTGACAGGACCAAAAGACATGAAACTACACTTGGATGATGAAAACTCCATCTGCCATGTTGAACCTCTTCTACTTAAGCGTAGTAAATCGGCATTATTTTTTGCAACAAAACATTTTTGGTGTCCTTAGAATATGAGTAAACACACTTGAGGTCATCGGCATAAATAACATCTTGTGAATTTTTGACTTCAGTCGAAGGATAATTGATGTAATAAGGAGGAGTAGCGGAGACGGAACAGTGTCTTGAAGAACGCCACTCATGATCGAGTGAGGTGTAGAATAGCTATTACCGACCATGACTTTCCGATATCGGTTGGACAGATAGGACCTGATGAAGTTGATTAAAGGCGGCGGGATGCCGAGAGCTTCCAATTTTACTAAAAGACGTCTATGGGGCACATTGTCGAAGGCCTTGCTATGATCAAAGTAGATAACTACAATTGACTGCTGCTCAATACGAAAGAGAAGTCATTAGATTAAGAAATGCCAAGTGGCAAGTTTCACAGGATCGTTCAGGTAAAATTCCATGCTGACCAGAGCTCAGAAGCCGATTACGTAGACAGAAGTCAAGAATTTTATTGAAAATTATCCTTTCAGGAAGCTTTGCTGGAGACGGTATTTTGTGCACGCCCAGATTGTTAGTAACATCGGACAGAGATCTAGAAATGATAATTGACGTTTTCCATGTTTTAGGAATAAATCCTTTTGAAATATAAACCGAGTATAAATGACTAAGCAGTATGGGAAGATCGGATGCCGGTTTAATAATCGAATTTGGAATCCCGTCCGTTTCTGAGCAATGTGAGTTTTTGACTGATGTGTTTCATAATGAGATCTGAGGAGACATCGATTGTAATCGGTGTCCTGTCGGAACGTGAGCGGAAGAAAGGAACTGGTTCGGACTTAGTGGCAATGTGTTTTGCAAATAAAGCACTAAACAACTCCTCCTTGTTAGTGTCATCGAGGGAAAACTTTGTTATCATTAAGCAGGGGTTAATGTTCGTGACCACGCTCAGAGGCGGACCGATGACGCAAGATGTTAGCGACGGATTTGCCAGGGTTCGGATCACTGTGGACAAGTGATTCTCTTTGGTCGTCGCGCGCTTGACGCATCCTAAAGGCCATTTCGAAAATCTCAGTGATTCTAAGATGAACTGATAAGGAACTAGTGGATGGGTCATGCAGCTGCCGCCTCAACTCTTGTAGTCTGTTGCGAAGAAAGTAAGGAACAAGGGAATCTGAAGAACTGGACGTGAGATATCTACCGCGGCATAAACTCTAGGAGATCCTTGGAAACTTTGGACGTGACATCACGAAGAATGGTTGCATCGCTACAGGAGAGGAAGCCACAGCAATCCAATGATCTAATATAGTTTTTGACAAAGTCACTATCCCCGCAATCGGAACTTACGTAAGTCCAAACCGTACTAGTCTTTTTTAAAAGGTAAGCGGTAAGCAACAATGAATTAAAACGTGGTCACTATCAAAGAGGTCCTTTCTGACAGCAACAAAATAGGGGCAATGTCATTGATAAAGATTAGATCTAAAATGTGATTATCTCTTGTTGGAGAGCGCACCAGTTGGGACCAGTTAGAAAAATTGGTAATATTTTAGAAAGGACTGGAATCCAGGTGGACAGATATTGAAAACTCAGTCTGTTTCAGGAAGGTTAAATCCCCAGTGATTATTTTACTATCGGAGCAGCTTCCAAAATTCGTTTAAACATTTCACAGACTTGTGGATCATCACTGGCTGAAGAGATTGGGGATTGTAGATACAGCCAATAATTGCGTTTCTTTGCGGCGAGAGAATAATAGATGCAGAGCAGGAGTTTTCCGTGAATGAGGAGGCATCCAGGTAATAGGGAGAATGCTTTAGAAAGGATATATGATAAGGAATAATTTCTTGTCCACATGTTTCTCTCGCATCAAACAGGCAGAGTTGTTTAGGGAAACAGTGAATAATTAGGGTCGCTTGACCCTAATGACTATCGGTCCTGCAGGTCTAAAACATATTCCTCCTCTCGGGTTAAAATAAGATCAAGACAGTTCGACTGTTGACCTTCCTTAACCTCCGTTTCAAAGGTAATGCTTCGGCAGAAAAGTTTGGCATTTGCTCATTGTAGTAGTAGTAGTTTGTGATTAAAGTTGTATTGCGGTCCTTGCGCAGTCCACGTTAGCCAATAAATGCGAGGGGCGTTAAAATCCCTAACGATGAGGACATCTTTCTTCTCACTGTCTTTATACAATTCGATTACGAGAATGAGAGTTTGGTCAGAAGTTTTGCTGGGCGGACGGTAGACCACCAAAAGCGTCGGTGGTCGGACATAATTAGCAGATGTGGTGATGCTTAAGAGTTCTACATCCCGTACCGGACTGTACACCAGCCATAGTGGCCAGCTTACAAGTTGCATAAATTATGACTCCTTCCCGACTTTATCTATCTCTCCTGAATTGCTGATATCCTCTAAGTGATATTTCTGAATCCGAAATATCTTTAGAATACGACGATTCACTGAAAGTTATAATGTCTGGCTTAATTTCATTAACTAACTCTCTTAGTTCGTCGATTTTGTTGAAGAGACTTTTAACGTAATCGGAAATAACCCTAAATGATTGC